TACAGATGTCCGAAAAAAACCCCCCCCCCCCCCCCCCCGGTCAAATCAAAAGAGACCATTTGCCTTAAATTTCTTAATTTTTAAATTCAAATTGACTAAAAAGCCCTCAGAACTCTGAGCTATAGTCAATATGGCTCTAGGTTGGAAATGATTTTACTTGTATTCTAATTAGGGTCCTTAAGAAATGATCAATATGATATTTATAATTTTTTATTCATGTACATTTTTGTTGGTTAAGTCTGTCTCGTCTTTTTCCTGCTTCCATGAACTTCTACCTTCCCAAACAGATTAAGTTAGCATTTGGTCCAAATAAAAGGATGGAGCCCTCCAGTGAAGTGAACAAATTAGTATTATGGGAAGTCTGAGATGGACATATGGCGTTCTCCTGAAACGAAGCATCATCAAAACAGAAATATTTCCCAGCATTGGCAGAATTTTTTTGTGACAGGCTTGCTTGTTCCTGGCCTGTGGGAAGTTTTGGATTCCGTTTTTTGTGCTGAATGCCAAATTGGTTCTTCACGTAGGCACTGTAATTGCAATCTGTAGGAAAAAAGTGTAAAGGATAAAACTTCTTGCATTTTTTTAATACTGATTGTAATCTGTACTTAAACCCAGTCCCTGCTTGGTCGCTTATCTGAAGTTTGAGCAAGGCCCTTTCCACCCATCTGTGTCTTTCTACTTGCAAGGTTTATCTTTCTTACCAACTTCTCACTTATCCCAGTTCTACTCTTGTTTTTAATGCCTCTTGACCAGGTTTTTTTAATAGGCCACCAAGTAATGTAAAATGTAAATACATACATGAGTTATTGAAGAATTGTGCCATTGACATGTAAATTCTTCAGGGCAGACTGTCTAAATGTAAAGACTCCCAGGATCCACAATCTTCGTTATACTTAACTATTGCAAGGAATGTGTCTATTGTTCAGTTCTATTCTAGCGGAAGTTACTGATGTTCTTTTCATTAAAATTCTATCACAATAAGAACAAGTTAGTAGTGTAGCTTCCCTGCTAGTTAGACAAGTTATTGGTTGATTGTATGATAGCTTTAAACGTTAATTTTTAATAGAACTTTTTTCTGAAGTTAACACCTGAAATTTTGTGCTTAGCATTGCAATATTAGCACACATGCATACTTACAGAACATTATATGGTAATGAAATGAATTGCTTTGACTTGTTAATGTTTCTACCTACTGCTGCAGGCTAAATTTCTCAGTCCAACTCCACAACTATAATGGAGTTTTAATTTACTTGGGATTCTTTTTCTGCCCGTTGTTGGTTTTGTCACCTCCTTGATCCTGAAACTGTTTGTTGTGAAGTGAGTCAACTGCTGCTTATTGATCTGAACTGTTAAATGGAAACGACCAGTGACTTCTTCCCAAGTTACCAGAACAATAGTGAATCCTGTGATTACCATTCTCACAGGTTGCTAGGCTTTGATTTTTATTTAGGCTTGTGGATGGAAAATGATTTTCTGTTATAAGTTGTTTCTTGCCCTTCTTGGACCCTATTTCTCCAGCTGCTATTGTTCTCACCTGTGAAATTGCATTTGCTGGTTCTGCTTTAATACTCTTCCTCTGTTGCTCGCTCTTCTTGAATGTACGTGTTACTTAAGATCAAAAAACAGTGCGGTAGGAAATGGGTGGAAATATTTCTACACTTTAACTGTTTCTGATGCTTTTGTTAAAGGCCTAAAAATATTCAGTCATGAGAAAACCAGATAAAATGCTGAAAGTGTTAAATCAGCCTTTAAGGATGGTTTAAGTGTATTAGGAGTTTGGAAAGAACATACTAGGTTATGGATAAGTTTCTGAGCGTATTGTGTGATGGTAGTAGGATAGATACTAAAAAGTACTACCTTTTTAGTAGATGTTAACTGGCAAAAGTGGAAAAGGCAAAACCAGAGCATAGTATACCTCCCCATGGCAAACCCAGATGAGCCATTTGGAAAATTGTCTCTTGGGAACTTATCAGCGCTAGTTGGAAGACAGCACTATATTCTGTCTTTGCTCATATCTGTGTACTTATCTTGCATGGGAAAGTCTGAGACAGCTTGATGGGTGTTTTTTTAACTGTATTTTTTAAGCATGTTAACAAGTTAAATGCCAATTTAATTTCTTATGTTTAGCCTGGGTAGCAGTAGAGAAAAAGAAAATAGCTTTCTAAATTCATGCATTTCTTAGCGCTATAGGCTCTGAAAAATTCTGGTTGCTTTCTGTGAGTGATAAGTAGCTTGCTTCTGTCTCCATGCAGTCTGTCAGCATTGCTCGAGACTCCTAGACAGTTCTCTCCTTCTGTGTGATATTTCTGGCTGGAGTCAATAATTGCTATTGAGATGAGAATTTTTTTGGTCTGCAAAAGCTTGTCTGGACAGCAATGTGCAGAGTTCTGTATAGGCAAACTGGTTTCCTGAATAGGAACAATAAATATAAGGAACGAAGGAAATGATAGGGAGGAGAAAAGTAATGGGAGTCTATAATTTCCTAATATTCTAGCTGGAATATTTGATTTTTCTGTTGAGGGTCTTAACAGTTACAAGTGTGAATTTTGTTACTTGAACTTGATTATAACTAGTCAATACTGTTATATAATATTTTGTGATGCTTTTTCCTTTATGCTTCTGTTAACTTTAATTTCATAAATGTATGCTCACTAGTCATAAACATGGTCATCTAGAAGAGCATATTAAGTGAACTCTTTAGTCATTAGTTGTCTATAATGTTTGTATCATGCCTAATATAGTAAGCCTCCTGAAATATGGGTGACATTGCTGGTCATTTTTTTGACTGATCTTGACTGCCATATGCTATTATCTTGGTCTTTTTTATTTTTCATTATGGGCAAATACTTGTAGTAATTAAAAGCAATTTTGATTCATCAGGCAAAGTTTATACAGTAAGATTCAAAAATACAGACTATTTTCAGCAGTAGCTGATGGTCCTGTTAATTAAAATTTCTGAGGTATATGCACTTTTTAGGAAGTGCAAATAGGAAGATTGTTGGTTTTGTTTTACGAGAAATCCCTCGTAAGGGAGTATGCTAAATGACTGATACCCTTAAGTCACAGGGAGACAATGCTATTATGGTTCAGAAACGGAAATCTCTTCAAGACATAATTTGTGTAAGTTAGCATGTACTTAGGGCAGTGTTTATTACCACAGAAGTTTCTTAATAACGAGAGCTGTTCAATTATAAATATTATTGATGGAGCACTCTTAACTGTCTGAACTGCATATATGATGAAAATGTATCATGTTCTTTCCATAGTTTTGGAGAAATAATCTGTTTCTTATGACTGGTAATAGCTTCCCTTTTTTAACATGACACTTGAAGAATATTGCAATTAAACACTTGCCTGACTCTACCTGGCTAAAATAAATCAGACTTTTCATTTAAAAATTCAGCTTTTAAGCATTATATCTGTTCTCTGTCAATGCTTTCCTTTTCTTGAATGTAATTTGGGTCTTTAGGAGAGCAACAGCTGCTGTTTGTTTTTTGGGGGGAAAGAAGATAGGTAATAGTCTATACTCTGCATATCGCATCCTTTAAGGAATGTGTCACAGGACACAACTCATACTGTGGGTTTTTTCTCTCCCTACACCCTGCTGAAACTATGTTAAACTGTATTTTCAGGATTTAGGGTTTGCTTTTCTCATTTTTACATGAACAGGAAGGCTATTAAGAGGTTCTTGCTCATTTTTTCTATTCTTACCAATATTTCTACTTTTGGAAATACAACCACCTCAGATTTTACTAACTTTAACAATGGTTCTTACAAGTCTACTGCATTTTTTTCACTTTTCCATGTGTCTAGTAGGGGTTGGTGTTCCTGTTAGCAAAGCACAGTTTTAGATCTGTATGACTGCCAGAGCATAGAATAAAGATGTGATATCAAATATTTTTTCACAAATAGAATAGCAGAGAATAGTTTTGTAGACTTTCTATTGAGAGGTCTGATTCAGAATGATCTGCAGAGGCCAAATTTCCAGAACTTCAATGGGGCATATTAGAAGTGTGAAGAGTTGCATTTAGGATAGCCTATAGTGCTAAATGGTTGGCTCATTCATTCATGAAATTCTTGCTGTAATTTTCTTAAGGCAGGAAAGCTTGCTGTTGATAGAGGCTGGGCAATCAATGTGGGTAAGTACAAATATAGTGAATTAAATGATACTTAAACAGCGTATTTAAAATCATACTATCCTTGCTTAGTATGATGTATATTCTGTTTATAATAACAAAGTGACTCAAGTTTACCTACCTAAACCCAACTCTAATGGGGAAAAAAAATGGGGAAAGTACGGGATTTATGTTCTCATCCGTTGCCACCCGTATTGCAGTTTAGTAATTAAAATATTATTTGAATGGAAAGGGGAAAGAGGTTTTTGTTTTTTTTTTAGAAAAAGTGTTTGACTTGAAGTAGTGAGAAAAAAGGGAAAAATGTTTGGAGTAAATGTAAATATTTTGATAGAAATTGATAGAAACTTTTAAGTTAGGCATTAATTTTCATAGCCCTTATTATCAGCCAGTTCATATATGACACAAAATCAGGAATTAATTGATATGCTGGAGAGTTAGGCTGTACTGGTTAGTTTCTGATTTTTGGCAGTGCTGTAGTTCAATTTTTATGAAAAAGACTTGAATGAACAAATTATGAAGAATATAGTCAGTATAAAATCTGCTCTCCTGCTCCTACCAAATAGCAATGCAAAACCAGTAAACTACCAAAGCAAAATTTTAATCGTGTGAGACCTTGCTTGTAGACTTCATAGAGTTCATCAGTGTTGGAATTTTCAATTATTTCTTGTGCACACTTCTTGATGTTTCTAAAGGCAGTAAATCCTACATAGTGGCATCTGTGCAGCTGTCTTGTTTTTCTTAAGTATAAGTAAAATTCTATCTTGAAATAGAAGGAAGGTTTGCTATAGCATAGCAGAAAATTCTTTTACTTCTCCATTATTGGCAAGTAATACTTTAAAATATAGTTTTTTACAAAGTAAATATCCAATGTTGAAAACAAAACGGACATTAACGGAACAAAAACAAAACCCAAAGTCTGTCATATTTACTAACACATAAAGTGAGCAAGTTTATTACACTTCTTGCTGAAATGTTGGTGGAGGGTTTCTCTGTAAAATATTCTGGCTTAGTATATGAAGTATTTTGGGAGGGGGTTAAGTACTTTTTGGTATAAAGTGTATGCATCCTTATTTACTTAAAGAGGAGTTCTTAAAGTCTGCTTCTGGTCTGAGTATTTGCAAAAGACTATTTCATTTACAGTGTAACAGCATGTGCAGATAGTGACAACATGATAGTTTTTATTTATTTATTTTTTTTTTGACCTAATGTTTAGCATGGCAAATCTTTTTCACTTGCCCCATAATGTTAATTTGGCCTCACTGTGATATGATGCATGAGGACTTGAATCAAATGTAGCTCTGATCATGTGTCTGGAAGTAGTTAAACTTTCAAAGCAGCATGCTTTATCATGTTGGCACCATGTATTACGTTTGTATATTACTCAGTTCTTATAGTTTCTAGATTAAAGGGACAGTTCCCTTAAAACAGGCATATGCTGATCCCTTGCTCAGTATAAAAAATAGATACAGAACCCCTATTAGATGTTTTGTGCCCCTATGTAGGGAGGGGATTGACAGCTCTAGGTATGGTATTTGCTAAAGAAAAGTCTGACATGCAAGTGAACTCTTATCTCTTTACAGAGACAGTGCATATTCCTTAGTATTTAGCTGTTCACATATCTTTAAAATGTTTATGCTTAGGGGGTGGTTTTCATCACTGCTCAAGTGACAAAGGTGGAGGATTTTGTGCATATGCTGATATCACACTGGCTATTAAGGTAAGAAATATTCTTAAAATAGTATTTTCTACCAATTGTACAAATGGAAAAAAATCATAAATTTATAAGCACTTTCTAATTTACATGTTAATAGAAAATAAAACTGCCTATAGACAGGTAGAAGAATGGAAATGGTGTACTTGATGTTGCAGTACATAATGTATGTGCAGCTATTAGGCAGAAGTGAAGAACTGCAGGGATGAGAATTATGAAATGGAAATACAACCCACTACAGCTGCAGTGTTAATGTTTTCTTGCAAAAAAAAACGCTAAAAATCAAGCTAACTTGTCTTTTAGTATTCTCCGTGAAATTTATCCCCATCTTACCGTTGAACCTGAAAGTCCCCAAGAGCTCCAGTGGTTTCAGTCAAAGCCTATGTACAGACAGAAATATTCTCTCAGAATCAAGTCAGTTTGAGGAGGAAAGGCTCAAACTCATGAATAAAACTGTGAATGTCTCAAAAATAACCAGTGGATGTGAAGGGTTACATTTGGTATTAGCTGTTGAAAAGCTGTAGCAAGAGCCTTCTTGCAACTGAACTTATTTTTATCAAATGTACTATGGTATATTTGTATGCTAGAATATCTATAAAATATCAGTACACATAAAGCCTTAAGGATTGCAGCACGCTACAAGACACAACATCTTGATTCCTATATATGCTAGTTTGCAGAAAGTAATATACAATATTCTATTTTCCCTATGATTCCAACACAGATTGGGACAGTATAGCTGGTCATCGTTTAGACAAAAATTTTCTGTACAACTATTTTGATAGTAGCTTGTCGAAGCTCTAAGTTAAGAGTTGAAGAATTAATTTTTTTTTTTCCTCAGACATGGAATAACAAATTAATTTGATTAGCTTAAAAAGGGGGTTTTAAGGCATATGGTCCCTGCTGCAGCACGTTTTTTATGGTGGAATTCCATGCTTGTACAGTTGGTTGTCATCACAGTGCAGTTCTTTACTCTTGCTGATAAGCCTCATTTGAGAAATGTGATAAGATTTGTTTTATGAATTTAGCTCTTTGCCGCTTCAGGACCTGTGCAGCTTCAATCTGTCCCAACCCACAGTTGTTGCTGTTGCTTTCTTCGTGCTCTTACTGTTCCTGGTTCTACTCCTGCCTCTGATGACATCAATGTGGAGATGGGTTTTATAAGCCCTAGTTGGACCTGTCCTTTTTCTGCCCAACTACTGTGGGACAGAGACATGTAACAACTAGGCGTGTGTAGAGCCAGTACAAATTTAACAGGGCGTATTACTATGGACTTCATTCCATTATTTGCTGCTGTTGGGCTTATGCGTCGCGTGTGGAGCCCACTTCACAAGCTAGTGTGTGATGTAGAAACAGCTCCTCGATCCTACATTTTGTCAGGTCCTTTGTGGAAGAAAGAGGAGATGGGCAGAACTCTTTCTCCCCTAGAACTTTCTCTTCAGGTAGGTAGCCACCTGCAGAAATGTCAGTGGATGTTTCATTCATTTCATATGATGCAAATGTATAGGTTTTTAATCCTATAACCACAAAATTATTTCATGTGAAGTAAATAGCTTTCATTATCAAGTATTTTGAAATTGTTTAGCCCTTTATTTGGAAAATGAAATGCATACATGTGTACTTCATTCAGATCAAAACTGTACAAGCTTCAAGCTTTCAATTTAATCTGTCACCTAACTTCGTAACTACCCCTTTTTCTCTTTTTCTTTGGTTATATACTCAGTTCTTATTTGAAAGAGTACAAGGGGTTTCTAAAGCCACAATTATCGATCTGGATGCTCATCAGGTGAGTAACTTGTATTCACTACTGCAGAAGTTTTACTAGAAAAACAAGCGTGATGAATACCCTTTTTTGAATAGTTTTATAAAATGGTAAATCAGAGAATATGAAGTTATTCATAGAAAATAGAAGTTGTGAACAGCCAAGTTGTTTGTTTTGTGGTCCAACTGGCTATTGAACCAGTCAACTAAAATTGAACTGAGTTCTAGCTCCATCATGTGGCTAGATGTGAAAATATTTTTGACTTGCGTGCTATTAAGTAGCACAATGATCTTAGAGTAAGTAGTTCAGTATCCTGGAAGAAATAAGAATCTCCTAAACAGAATTCCTAACATGGTTCAGCATGCATGATAATTGCAGCAGCTTTTGCAGGAGATGAATTTGACCTTGACTGTTGGTAATGGAAAGCCTGACTTCAGGTTAATGAGGTATAAAATATATCTGTTCACCTGGAAAAGTGATTTACTATGGGGACTGAAAATAAATATCATGTTTGGTAGGCTGTCCAACATAAATTCTAGTAAGTGGCTGAAAGGAGACTTTGAAATTTGTTTTGCAAACTGATTAGTCTGCTTTATAAAACTTTTTTCTGTTCTAAATTAAAAAAGAAGGAATTACTATTTTTAGAAAAGTAGCTAAGGTACTAAAGTTAAGTTCAAACAGAAATATCAGACATTTTAATGGGTGAAAATAATCCATTTTTGAAGCAGTGTGGTTGCAGTGAGGAAAGCTTAATGGCTGCAGAAGTCTTCCATCATTTCTCTTCTCTGCAAGTTAAGACATCCTAAAAATGCTGTGGAACAAAGGCACAGAATATGCAATAAAAGATGCTTTGTATATATGATTCTTTTCAAGGGTGTCTGTCGTGGTGTAACAGTGTGGAGTGTATTTTTTTGTTTTTTGTGGTTTTTTGATGACTTGGAATATATTTTGATTTTCAGATATCATGCTGAATCTGAATCAACCTGCACGCTAAATCACCCTTTTCTGTAATTGTTTCCTTCCTTTGGGGGACCAGAGGTTTATGAAGCAGTAGATCAGCAGCAGATCCTTTTAAAGTATAGTTATTTTCATTTTGTAAGTGTCCTAATTTTTGGTGCATTTGCTAGTTCCATCTGTCATAATAAAATGGTTTCCCCAGAAACTCTCGTTTTACATCTGTTATTAAATGTTTCTTTGGGGACCAGAGGTGATGAAGAAAGGAACTGCCTCATTTTTAGCCTAAACAAATATAGTAGGGTATTCCGATGCTTCCAATTTGATTTGTATTGGCTAGCTTTAGCCCTGTTTTTCTAATTTTATTTTATTTTTTCAGGAGGAGAAGTCATAGCAGAAGTATAGTTTAACTGTGCAAGGGTTCTTAAAAAGGACAAAGTACTGAAGATTTATTTGTGGACTTCTCCGTTCCTACACTTTGAATGAAATCATTTTAATGAATACTTTGTGGTTTTTTGGGGTCGACCCCCATGATGCACTAATTCTGGCAAAGTTGACTTAGAGATTGCTGTGGAAGATTGTTTTGTGGTAGGTGACAAGAGCCTGAATGAGATCCAAAAGAATACCATTTAAATGCAGAGATGGAGGGGAAAACATTCAGAATTTGAATTTTCTCTTGAGCATCCATCTTTCCAGCCAATGCAGTGTTCATGTTGGATTTTCTGTTTTTAATCATAAAATGTTAAAACTATTGAATTGAATGAACATTTAGTTTTTATGACTTTTCCAAGGATTACTTATCTCACAAGGACTTGTATTATCAGAATAATTTTAGTCTCATCTTTTAAAGTATCCTTGTAGCAAACTTTGCAAAAAAGTCAGTTTCAACATTTAGAAATATTGGAAGGTGAGAAACTATTCTTTGGTTTGGGCCACAGTTACCTTTGTGATGCTATTGAAGAAATTAGGTTCTAATTTTTGCTAACTTAGATGTATAAGGACAACTGTGATACTTTTTTACTTTTGCAGGGATATTAGAATCTTTGATTTTGATAATACCCGTAGTCTTCAGACACAAAATACTGATATTATCAAAACCCCCAGAGCTCTACACCTCAAAACAACCTTCAAGGTTATAAATAAGAGAAGGTCACAGGCTTTTAAAATATTAGATCTTTGTAGTCTTAATTACCTTTAGAACTTGCAGATTTTTTAGTTCTGTATAGGTGTGCTAGAAAAGAACTAACTGTGAATCTCCTTCAGGGAAATGGCCATGAGAGAGACTTCATGGATGATCATAGGGTATATATTATGGATGCATACAATAGATATATTTATCCAGGGGATGGATTTGCTAAACGTAAGTATATTTGAAATTAATATTTGAAAATGTAAAATAGCTACTATGTTGTTAAATAACCTTTTCATGTGCTAAGTCTCCTTGCAGCAACATTAACTAAACTTTCTTTTTATTTTATATTGAGCATATCACTTCTAGTGGTCACTAGAAGTCCCAGTTGTAATAATGCTATAGTGTTGTCCTTCATTTGGGTGTCAAAAGCATTTGAAATTGGTTCCTGAAGCTGTAGGTATACTTTCTTGTCTCCCTTTCGACTAGAAGCTTTTTTGACCTGAAACCAGTGTTCCCCTCCACACCCCCCCCCCCCAAAAAAAAAAAAAAAAAAAAAGGGTGAACTTTGAGACAAAAAGTATGAAAGATACTATAAACACAATGGACTCAAATTTGAGAGTTCAAGGAAGAAATATTATTTCATGATAATTCTATCGTATATAACCCTGTACATGAGATCTTAAGGCTAAGTGTTGCTGACACTGAACTTTATAAAAGGAAAGTCATGGAATAGTCTGAACAGAAGATTGGACAGCTGCTATTTTGAGGTCAAAAAAATGCATGAAGCAAGATGCTATTTTGAGGTCACTGTGAATGAAGCAATTTTGGAAGAACTGAGTAAAGAATGATTCCTTTAAATATGCTTCCTAAACTTTCATCACGTATACTTGGACTTTTTAGATCATATATTAAAGCACAAATTGGGGGGGGGGGGAAACACATGGAATAGCAATTGTTACCATTACTTGATGAGATACTTTCCTCAGTGTTTCAGAGGAACGTACTTATGTTCTATTCTCTGCACAAAGCAATTCTTAGTTTAAGTACATTATGTTTAGCTGTTTGACAGCTTCTTTTTTAATAATGTAAAGAAAAAGTGTCCACTGTGAAACTATTCTTATTTTCTCTGTAAGGCAGGGCTCTGCAGTTCTTTTGAACATTTAAAACAAATAGTGGACCATTTTGATAATGAGTAAACTTCTGGAATGGGAGGGGATAGTTCTGGGTGGTCATTGGTAGCAGTCCATTCAAAAGCTAATGCCAAGCTTAAAACAATAAGTTTAAATAATCCTGTCAATTTAAAGATAACTGTTAGAATTTGATGTTTAAATGGATTAAATTTATGAAAACCCATTCAGAATGTTTTCCTAGACTAAACTTAAAAGAAGTTATTCAGGATGGGCTAACACTGAGGAAGGTTTGTGATCTTTTCAGAGTTGTAAGTTGTAACATATTTGGGTATTGTATTATCTGTGGGACTTACTTTATCAGCATTTAGACAACAAGATGCATGTGAATGTGAAACAATTTGGAAAAAAAAAAAAGAAATCATGCAAACATGAAGAGCTGATGCTTGATTTCCCCCTCCCTGCACCTGGGATGTGCCTATAATACTTCACAACCTGTCACAGTTAATTAGTAGACTTCTGATAATGGCTAAATCAGAAAGCAAAAGCCAAATGTTTTAATCTTTGATTCTTTTACATTGGTATTTATTACAGACTTGATTTGTTAACTAAATTATAGTTTATTATGTGGGGGAGGGGGGAGCATCTCTCCTACTGTTGAATTTCTTTATTCAAACTGTCACTCTGAAAAGCCTGCTTTGGGTTGTTGGCAAGAAATAGGTGTGGTATGTGGTATTGTACTTTTTTTTAGCTACTAAAGGTTTAGAAAAAATTGTGTTCTACCTATGTCATAGTATTAAATTTAAAAATGACCATTTAAAGCACATCATGCACATCATGTATGCAGAAAAATCACAAGCAAATGAAGGCTTAAAAGAAACCCTCCTCTTATTCATGTATCAAACGGCAGCATTTCTAACAGATGGTTTAAGACCAAAACAGAAATCCCTTGTTAGCAAATTTGAAATACTGAATTTAGAAGGAAGAAGTGAACTGGTGTTTGATACTGTGCATTTCTGTTTAGTCCTTCAATGCGTTTTTCTAAGTTCTGTTTTTAAGCATTGTATTGCTTAAAATATGTAGAAAACTAAATTCCCTCTGTGTAGATGTACTGTGGAAAATTTTACTAAATGATATCTAAATGATAGAATTGCTATAAACTCTGAAGCATTACTTTCCTGAAAAAAAGGAGGAAAAAGATATTTGTGTTACAAGACAGGTATGCGATAGCCCTAAAAGTATTGCTGCTTGCAGAGTCTCACTGTCATGCCTATTGAAGTATACCTTATATTTGTGCTGAGGAGTGTTGCCTTTTGGGTTTCTCTTAATTACTTCGAACTCCTGAGCACCCAGCTATGGGTGCACGTATAGCCTTTCAACAGTAGCGTTGGAATGCACCCTAAGTGTGTGTGTGTGTGTGTTCATTTTCCTCACTCCTGCAGAACTGGGGATACTGCTGTTCCCTTTCTACAGATGAAGTATGAGGTACTGAAGGCTGTGGCCTAAAGGTACATAAATATGTAATTCCTTGTAGGGTGTCTAAATAAAAGTTCAACATCTGAATACTTTGAACTTTCTTGTGTTAGGTGACCAGCCTCAGATGAGATCAGAGGGGAAGGAAGTCTTTTGAAGGAAGGTAGAAGTCTGAACCTGGGTGTTTGAATCCTTAGGGTAAATCCGATCTCATCTTTGTCTCCCTGGACTTACTACTCTTTTTTTTCTGTACAATTTGTTTTTTCTGCACGCTTCATTTTTTAAAAAAAAAAAAGACTCACTAGCATTGCATAATATTTACTCCTAAGCATCAGCACACTGTGTCCTTGAGAACTCATTTGGAATTAAAGCAGCTTAGGAAGAGACAAGGAGACAATAGATGGGGGAAAAGACCTAGTTCACTGAATGGTGAGCAATATGAAGCTGACAGCTGAAACTGAAAATTTAGGCCCTAGAAAAGCTTTGCTGTTGGACTGAGTGTCTTTTTACCTGTTTTCAAAGCTTTAGAAGTATTTTCATTAACTAGCAGTAGATGGAGGGGAGAGAGGCTGTGAAATAAAAGAATTTTGTTCACTGTAACCTCACACATCCTTCACTGTCTATCAGTAGTAACTCTGAGCTGAGTAATGACTAATCAATGTAATTCTGGTTTGTGCGTTGGAGATGAAGACAGGATGCCTGCAGAGGCATGGAATCTTATTCATAATTGTCACAATTTGTTTTTAATGGTTTCATTGGAACAATATTTACTTGTTCCCCATGCTAATTTATTCACCTCCTTTAAAGCTCTAGCTAGCATATTCTTTATCCTGAAGAGGCTCTAAGTGTTGTTCAGGGGAGTACAGCTCTGCAGACTTTTATGAATGTTTTATATAACAATAAGAAAGGAATTCAGGAAAGATGTTATTATAAAGAAACAAAAATCTTAAGCTATTCTTGATACAGAAAAATGTAGAAAGGAAAAGGCCCTTCCCTAGTGTTGGACAAGGATGAAAAACAGAAAAAACTGCCCAGCACTCACTAGTATGAATAAATGTCGTTGTATTGAATTCATTCATGCATTCTCGATGGGTGCTGAAACCACACTTAAAATGTAGGGCTCCCAGCCATTTAATTCAAGGTATACTGTATGCTGAGGCAAAAGTCCTACCTTGAAGGACCTTTCAAATAATGTTATTAGCTCATGTTTTGAGTTATAACTGCCTAAGAACCCCTAAAGCTAGAATGTAAAACCTTGAGTTTCTTTCTTCTGCCTCGTCAACCCTCCTCTTTTACTTTTAATGCTTTATTAGAAGCATTAGAAATAACTTTATTTAAATTAGGAATAGGTGTTTGCTGCTTCTGGTCAGACTATGATGTAAAAACATTAAATTGTGAGTGCTTGGGGCAAAGCTAAATACATTCATAAAGGGCATAACAGAAAATGTCATGATTTATGTGAAGTTTTGATTAAAAATAAACAATCTTTGTCTCAGTGATATTCATCTTGTTTTTTCCAACTAATGGTCTGTATTAGGAGTTGTGTGTTCTTTCCGTTACATTAAAAAGTAATTTACTTAAAGGGTAATGTTTTTCTTTCCTTTTTTTGCTAATTGGTAAATGTACACCTAGATCAGCCTTTTTCAATAACATGTTCTACTTACTGCCTTTAAGAAATGTTTTGTACATCAAACGTTCTCTGTTCAATGGAATTTTTTCCAGGTGGTTGTGCTTATACTTGCTGCTGTATGCTGGGAAAACAAATTCATGGATATTTTTTAATTCAGCGTTTTGTGGAAATTAAATTCACTTGCAGAATTTTCAGAAGTGTTATCTTTTTCTTTGCTTGCCTATATCTTACTTCTTCCATAGCAAATTTTGTTTATTCAGTAACACTGGAACATTTTCTAGGTGCCATAAAACGCAAGGTGGAATTAGAATGGGGTACAGAGGACACGGAATATCTTCAGAAGGTACAAACTCATGTGGAAGGAGCGTTAAATGAATTAAAACCTGACATCGTTGTTTATAATGCTGGAACTGATATTCTAGATGGTGATCCATTGGGAGGACTTGCTATTTCACCTCAGGTTTGTATAATACTGGAATATACAGAGACTTTCTCTTCTCAAAAATACTGAAGGTAGGCCTCGGAATGAATTACTTCTGGAAGTTTGTTAGATGAAGGTAAAAAGCACGTTTCAGACTAAAACAGAACATTTTTTCTGTTACAGATACTTTTTTCTTTCTCTTACCTTCCCCATGTTTTTTAATCTTCTCTTCCTTTGCTGATGTGAAATATGTGTCTTCATGTGCCTGTTTCAATATCCCTCATCTTTTCTCTAAAGTGTACTGCTTTTGGTACTATTTGGATGTTCAAAGAGGTGTATCTTTTCACTCTTCACTTAACTCCTGTTTTTTCCCTCTGCTTGGGAAGTCCTTTCTCCTCCCCCCTGCTCCCCCCCCCCCCCAAATCCTATGATGTGTTACTTCTGTCACCTGCTCCTGTAGATACCTTGCACTCCATTTCCTCTGTAGCGCTCCTATCTTTTTCAACCTATTCTTCTGGTATCTTCCAATTCTAGCTATTTTTTGCACCCCTATCTCCCCTATCTGAGTACTCTTAACAAATAAACACCTTTTTTCCCTTTCTGCACTCTTTTCTATTTAAATATCACTGACCTTCAGTGCAGTTCTAGTTTTTTAGCCCTTTTTCAGTTCTCTTTTTTTTTCTAATTAATTCCTGATTTAAATTTCAGTTTATTCTGTTTAGCTTCATAGAGGAATTCATTTTCCTGATGTAACAGGTTCACCTCTTCTCAGAATACAAAAACTTAGATTCCTTATTTCCTCTAGTCTTGTGTGATTCCTTTTGTGACAATTCCTCAGTCTTGTCCCGTTCTCATATTGGTCCTTTTTTGCTCTCCACCAATGCAATAAAGAGAAAACGCATTCTTGACTTGTGAACTGTCAGAATCCTTTCTAACTGAGCAGTCACTTAGCCTGTTCAGTTTTCATCCTGTTCTGCAGTACCTCAGTTCTCAAACACTTTTTCTTGTTTGCACAGAGCCCTGGTCCCTACTATTTTTGACTTCCTTATGCGGTTCCTGATTCTTACAGTCTCTGAGGAGTCTCTGGTGCCAAAGTTCTTGCTGGGCCAGGGGTGGAACAACTCAGGAACTACACTGGATCTCCAGGTTTTGTTCTCATGGCTGTGTAGAAGTCTCCAATTGGAAAGAAGTGCTGAGGGGCATGGAGTTTTTTTTTTTTTTTTTTTTTTTTGTGTTTCAGCTGGGAGAGGATACTGCTCGAGCTCTACTGGTTCAGGTCCCTGATGGAGAAAATTTTTCTGCAGCTTAAGCTTTTGTTTTTTGAATTGAGGGCTGGACTTCTTGTCTCTCTGATCATCTTAGCTTAGATGTGAATGATATGTTTGACCAAGCTTGGTCAGGCTGTTGGAGATAGCACAAGTAGAAGGCATTGAGCCTGAACAATTCATCTCTTCAAGCCTCATTGTTCCAGTCTTTGGTGATATAGTTGGAGATGTATTGGTATTTCAAAAGTCTTTCTGAAGTGTTAATTGTACTCAAAATTATGCATTTATAGTTTGCTACTAGTGGCGATCGCTTGGTGCTTCAGGTTATAGCCAGAATATTTGAGTAGCAGCATACATGTCCCTCTTAATAGTTGCCACTTGCATACAAAGCTATCAGGCTGTTATTTTCAGCTTATGTATTTTCTTTTCTGGTAACAAGCAAATGCTAGAAACTGATGTCTTTTTCCCTCAGTTCTTCCAGAATCAGCTGCTAGAGATCATGGAGGAGGAATGAGGAAGTTCAGCTCATATGAACTGTGACTCCTTACAGTTCTTGTGGCATGATGTTTCTTAGATCCAGTGATGGTTCTCACAGTACTTATAGTTGATTTTATAATTCTGTTAATTCCTTTAAGGAATTACTCCTAATGAAATACTTCAATTTCCTTTGTGTTGCCTTTTGTATATTAGTCCTTACTCCTCCTGTTCTTTTACAGGGCTATCTCCAAGTATACAGAAACCTTTGTCTGTCTTCCTCTCTCTCTCTCACAGTAGAGTACTATTTCATGATGTATTTACAAAAAGTGTTCCTCTAACCACTTTAACTCCTCTGACTAGCATATATTCATTTTGTACCACTTCTACTTCTTCTCCTTTGATAATTTATTGTACTAGATTGCATTTATAATCCCTTTCCCTTAATCCAGCTCTTAGTTCTTTAACATTTAAATTTTGAGCTGATGCTCTTCTAGTATCAGATACAGACATTTATTGAAGTAACTAGAAGCTTATAATTAAGCTAACGGTCATGAATATGTGAGATCTGATTTGAATTTTTGATTCTACTGCAGGTTTGTGGAAAAATTGACCAGGTTGCTTAGCTTTTGTCAGAGGAGTGCTACGGAAGTTGAGCACAAACTGAAGTGCTTTGTGAATTCAGACAATCTCTCTTAATCTCAATTCATCGCCTGTAAAACGGTGAAAATTTTCAAACTCTGATCGTTTAGTCATTTTAGGTTTTATGGCTTTTGGGCAGGAATTCTTCTAGGAGATTGATATAAGGGGACTTCAGTCTATTGTGTCCTCTAAAAACAAAGTGAAAGATTTCTGGTTTTGCTGTGTGGGGGGATTTTTTTTTTTAAGATTGTGCCTGTAAAGCCACTACAGAAACTTTGAAGTATGTTGTTCCTACTATAAAATGTAGGGCTTGGACACTTATCAAGCATCCAGTACTGTAAGTCATCAGCCAGAAGTCTAAAAACTAAAATATTGTATTTATATCACTCTTTTGTAATTGTTTTAAATATGCAGGGAATTGTGAAGCGAGATGAAGTAGTATTCAAGGCTGCCAGAAGCCGCAGAATTCCAATCTTGATGGTGACGTCTGGAGGCTATCAGAAGAGGACAGCGCGGATTATTGCTGATTCTATTCTTAATTTGCACAACCTGGGGCTTATCGACAAGGAGCTAGCAACCAGTGGAGCTGAAAATCCTGAGGTAGAACAGATGCTTAGAAACTCTGTTGCAGACTTAACCAACTTGTCACTGCAATGACAAGATCCTAAATATTAGGAAACAACTTACTCTTTCAGGAATAGGAAGTCTCTACATCATTACCAGGGTAATATAACATTCCAAAAGGACTTAACTTGCCTGTAAAGTTACAAAGTACAGATAATACACGATCACAGAATAATTGTGTTTAACTTCTGAATCTGTCTTGAACAAAACAACGTATTGTCCTGAGCTAACTTAGACTTATTGAAGGGCACTATCTTTCAGTTATGATACTACTATAGAAAGCTTTAATTGCTTCTCTTACTGTCATGGGTAGTCTATGTTTGAAGAACTATGCAGTTAGTATCCGAAGACTGTCCCAGACACGTTTCAGATGATATGATTCTGACAATGATGGGAGAAATCTGGTCTAAACCTTACTCAGCATTCTTTGTTAAATAATGTATTACATTTTATTTTTTTGAAAACTGTTGTGAGAATTCTGTACAGTCCTCAGCTGTCAGTTTAATGTTAAAGTTTATGTGCAATACCATGAAAAACAGTTTGATTATTTGACTTTTAAGCCATAGCCTATTAGAATGCAAGTTTATTAATTTATATTTTATTCCTATTATTGACAGTGATTTAAATCCTACTTTATAAACAATTTCAGAGAAGGAATATGAAATACTTATGTCTCAATATGCAAATGACCCCTAAGGGCTCAGCATTAGCAGTTTGTTTTTTGTCTCTCTAAAAATGAGGCCTGCATGTAAAAGGCAATAATTACTATGCACCGAAAATTGCATGATAAAGATATGAAATTAGAATTAACTTTAAAGTTCTGAGAAATCTTACAGAAAATAAAATTAGTGGAAGTTCAGAGGTACCTCTTGTAATAAACTGGTACTAACCGCTTATCATGTATAAGTCAACAACAGTCATTGGAGAATTAATTTTGATTTCCCCCCCCGCCGCTACTGCTGTGCTTTTTCATGTGCTCAGAGACTAGTGGTAATCATAGTTGTAGTCATAGTTGGTAATCAAATGGTTAATATTTAGACTAAAAATACTGTGAAATTGCTACATTAAGCTTACATAATAGGAGCTACTGTGATTTGGGAACAAAAAGTGTATTCAAAAGCAAATTACATGCATTTATTAACAGCAAAGTTTTTTTTAATTTATGTTAATATATTTTGCATTAGATACTGTTCATAGCATTGGGTCATAAATGTACTAAACTGTATTTCTTGGGAGCTTTTTTAATTTCTGTGCGTTCACTTATTTGTTGTATAAATTCTGTGTGATAAGGTTTGAGCCTCTGTAAGAAGGTACAGCAATATTTTCCTTATAGCAGTAGAATCAGTGTTTAAGCCATTTAAGGAATGTTTAAATCTAATTAGAATACTTACCTCAGTTAATGCTAATTTTGAGACTGATAGTTTTTTAGTTGCAGGAACTTGCACAATTGCTATGTTTGCTTTAAAACAGATTTGGTGTATTGCACTAATCTTGAGTTGCAACACTGTTATTAAAAAGCACTTTTAAACTTCTTACTAGATGGGTGGTCCAAGTACTAATGCTGAGATTTTTTTTCTATACTGTGTTACTTACAGATGTTGTTCTTTCCTATAATTTTTATAAAATTATAAATTATATTTCTATGAACTAAAACTCTATAGTAGTGCCATATGGTCTCTTCCAAAACACTTTGTGTTAACATGTTTATATTGTTTTCCCTCACTGGAAATTAAAATGATGTTGAATAATTCTGACTGATTTTTCCTTTTACTTTACACATATTGGATGACAAAATTTTTGAATGGAACAGTTCATTGAAAAGACAAGAAGATGCATTTTTTCATAAAAAAGTTGCATGTAAAATGTAACTGAAATTGCATTGCACTCTTCATCCCTGAGACTTACTGCTTGGTAACAGTGGATGATTCCTCTGAGAGGTAATGTGTTGACCTCTTAAAGTGAGATTGCAAACTTTGTGTCCAAATACTTGTCAGAAGAGGTTAAAGTCACCCTCTAATTCTAAATTACATTCTTTCACTTATATTTTAACTCCAATTTTAAATTATTTTAGCATTACAAATGTTAAACTATAAATCTAGGTTGTGTAAGGACTGCAGTTGTTTGCTAGAGGTCTTTATAAATGACTTATATCCCCCTTTCAGAGGGTTAACTAAATATTTGCAGAAGACCCTACAAGTTTTCAAGGATTCTTGTCTGTAAAATGTGTGATTGCTTAAACCACTGACACACTGACTGCATTTTCAGTGTTTACTGTAAAGTTAGAGTCAGCAAACAGACAACTGCTCCATGTATTTCAAAACTTGTAATTTAGTGTAAAATTTGAGGAGTTAAAAACAAAAACGAATTCCTACAAACTATGAAGCTATTCCAAGATAGATGACTATTTTTAAAAAAGTGAAACTTTCTAAGCCGAATTTAAACTTCAGATGTTGTGGGATTCATAATTCCTGTAATGTTCAATGCACTTTGCCTGATCATGGAAACTTTGTAGCTACCAATAACTATCAAAATGTTACCTTTGACAAAAGCTTTGTGAGACAAAGAATTTCAGAACTGATGCCGTAACCTATAATGAGAAAATATCTTGAAGAAAGATGTAGTAGATCCTGACATTAGACTCAAAGTATTTAAGAAAGAAGTAATTTGGATTGTTCAGTAGTTTACAGTTGAAGAGTGAACCTGAGTTTCCTGTTAGTCATCTACATGTGAAATATATTTAAAAATTAATAGAAGAGTTAGTTTTGTCTATTTGCTTTAATGGTTTGTGTGTCAATTTCCCGCCCCTTTTAGCTTTGTTTTACCCTTGATTTGCAGCCTAACAGCATTAAAACACTGCAGGGATTTTGATGATAGTCTTATACTGACTAAATGTTAGCTGTAGGTTCTAATGTCTGTCTCCTTTGAATTTAAGGTTTTTCTCTGTGGTGATGGTTTTGTCTTTTTGGTGTTTTTTAACACCTTGCATCGCAAAATTCAGGATTTGCATCATGAAGTACTCCATGGAAGAATTTGAGAAATACTGTAGTTGGAGAATTGTGATTAAAACGTGGGGAGTAAGAAAATGAATTGGTAGTCTGCTTAGTGTGTGTGATGTAGGTAGTGTGTGTGTTTGGTAAATAACTATCCTGAGACCCAGGCTCCCTGCTTCTTGCTACCCTTATCGCTTGAGGAACCTAATGATTCTGAAATCATTCTCTAAGCTTTTGGTCGTGCTACCAGACTTTCTGCCCTCTCACATACAGCCATGCACACAATTCTCTTCAGTGCTGGCTGTGTACCTTTTTCATGGTTTGTGAAGCGACATGAGTTTTTTGTACTTTACAAATTGTGCTATGTAATTCTATGTCCTAAAGACATGGTCAGTTTGAGGAGAACACTGTTCCTCTAACAGATGTAGAAGCTAATAATTTAGTAATCCGGGGTACAGTCTTTGCTCAGACTGTGCTGCCGGGCACTTAAGGAGCTTGCTGAGTTCAGAAAGCTCCAGGGTCTTGGTGTTATGTGCTATAGCAGTTTTTGAATAATAGAAGACATTCTTAGTTCAAGAAAACTGCTTTCCCTTGGAGAAGAAGCAGGCTCACTTGCCATCTTTACCTGATGAAAGACTGTCTTCCTTATATCCCCTAATTGATTCTAAAATGCAAGCCAGGTCAGAAACAATAAAAAAGGGCTTGATGCCAAGTGGTACCATACCCTGAACTGAAATTGCCTTGAATTTAACATGAGCTGTATATTCCCCAATCATTCTAGAGGCAGGTGCAAAGCTTGCAAATCAGTCTGTATGTATAAGCCTTTAATTTAAGTTTTAAATAAGTATGACTTCTTTTTAATTATTCATTTGTTTAAATCTGTTTCCTTGGTATTGACATTTCTGGTAATCTCTTAGACTTCCAATTCAGTATCCATCCACTTTTCTTCTTTTATGCAGCTCATTTTGCTACAGCCAGTCACTTTTAACAAAGATGAATAGAATTAACTCCTTTAAAAAAAAAAAAAAAAAAAAATTGGAAAACAGTGTGAAGGACTACATGAAGGACTAATTCCTAGATTGCTAATAAAGTAATTACTAATTACTTAATTACTAGACCTGATTCTCTGATGTAGTTATCAGGACAATAAGAATAGGTTGGTTTTGCTCTGCTCCTGAGTCAATACAAGTGTGGTACTGACTTTTATGTGAGGCTTAGGGCAACAGTAACTCCTGCTTTACATATTTGCACATTAAGAATGCTGTATGAATATGCTGCATGTAGTAGTGACTTTTTGAAACTAAGACAAAAGACATAGGAGAAGCTGTGGTGGGGCTGTGGTTCTAAAGTAGTAGCCCAATATAATTCTGACTTCCACCCCAACAGCTTGCCTGAGGTAAAACTTTTGGCTGGGGATGAATTAAGTATAGAAATTATGAAAAGTAGTAGTAGGTAGCTTGTCATTTGTTTTGTGGCTTTGCCCTTGATTTTATTTCAGGTACAGAAGAGGTCAAAAGGGACTTAAGATAATAGCAAAGTTGAAACAATAAGGACACTGAAAAGCTAATTATAAGTAAAAAGTTGTAGTCTGTTCTCTGCTGTTCTTATGTGTGTCATTGAGAGCTACGATCAGCAGGAGCCTCTCTCTGCTTTTGTTAGACTTGAGTAGAATCTCCCCTGGTATATGTAGCTACCAGGATATTCGTTTCTATCTTCAAATATTGTATGTTTGCCTCTACCTTTCTTCCTTCTTTGCTAATCTTTCCTGTCCCTATTACCAACGGAAGTGTCACTAAGAACATTCTTCCTTTTTGTGATTGTGACAAGGACTTTCTTTGGGTACTGTTCTCCAATGGTTGGATATCTGGGGGTACTGCTTAACCAATTTTCTTACCCTTTCAGAGGTGTCCAGATAATTAGAAATTCTCAGCATAAGGGCTTAGTGGAGCTTGGGCTTACTCATTTTGGTCCTAAGTTCCAGCAACTACTGCTTGTGTTCAGTGCATGAGACTTTTGGAAATTGATGTGTAACAGCAGGCTCTGCCTACTCACCTGAATATGTAAGTAAGTAGTATGTATGCACAGCAAATTCTATTGGCAATGGTGTGTATTTTAGAATAAGCAGTTCAATAGGGTCCCAGTTCAGAAAGACATGTTTGATTGCTATCTGAGTAGAAATAATCCAGCCTGTTCAAAAATGGAAACAATCTTTGATTTTAATTTCATTCCTTTAAAAAAATCAAAACAAATAGCAGAAGCTTTTTTTTGTGGGACTTTCAGAAACTGGTGAGTAGAAACTGCATCTGATGATTCTTGGCTTCCAGATGTTGTTTGTTCTGAAGTATTGCTGTAGATTAGATAAGTTATTCTTTGCCAAGACTACATCTTGTGATAATTACAGAGGTACAGATTAATGGAAAGTGGGGGCTGAGGGGAGTATTGTTGCAAGTGACATAATTAACCAATCTAAACATTCTTGATTTCATGTGATAGCACTGTTCTGGTTTAGCAGAGGAAATAACAGTATAATAAGATGCAGTCCTGCTTGTTGCTTGTGAAGAAGAGAATGAAGTCCTGAAGCAGATAAGGGATTCTAAAAATCCTAATTCATACTTTTTTTTCCCCTAGAACAGTTAAAGTATTGAATTATTTGAATACTGAGACTTGAGTGATAACTTACAATCTGTAAGAATCAACACATTTTGTCGTAGCATTCATAGGTCTTTAAAGTTGCATCAAAAGCAAAGCTTACAGCTCAGCTATAGTCCAGCATGGAGCTTAAACACAGGCTTGGCCTCAGGCCTACCATGAGTATTTCTGTCTGCCTGACTGCAAGAGAGGCTGTGCTTCTATGCACAGCTGAGTAGCTCCAGCAGCAGTCCATGAGAAAGGTGATAACACCTCTGAAAATCTGACTTCAAGTTCTGAACTAGCCAATATCTTACATGAGGTTTCAGGTAGCCCTATGATATCACACAGTACACTAATGATTACCATCCATATTTTTTAATGTGAGTTTGCAGCAATTTCCTAAAATACTGTAGGAGGAAGTCCTTAGGCCATTTGAGGTTGCCAGTGGGAATATTGATGAAATTAACCTTTTTTGGATTAATTATTTCAGCTTCATGGAATGCTGTCTCTGAAACTAACTCTGAAGCTATCTTTTTTTTTATCTTGACCATTGTTTCTCAAAAACCAGCTTTTGTTAAACAATTACCCAAGAAACTTCTGGCTA